TGAGGTTTGACATGAAAGAGACCTCAGGGAGCGACTGTGACTGCGGCTCTCATCATCATAACGGCCTCTGACTCTGCGTTTGTCATCTGGGCTAGCACTACGAGACCTACTGCGCCGACGATGATATCTATCCTTCTCTTGATGCCTTTCACGCCTGTCATAGCTTCTACTTCTGCTTCTGCTCCTCTTCCGGTAGTCTCTTTCCCTGTAATCATCTCGGGACCTAAAATTTATGTAACTCGATCAGAATTATTCAGATGTATACTGTTCTTGGGTTGATATAAAAGTCTCTGATGAATAAAGTGCCAAGACCTAATTGAGTAGTAGTATAAATGATACAGCTATGAACTCCCTGCAATTCACCTCACCATCATTAAAAAAACAGACTAGAGAAGAAACTCACCTCCTGCGGGGACTACGGCTTCTCCTAGGACTACGACGTCTATATGGACTACCGCTCCTTCGTGGACTACGGCTTCTTGACCTTCTTGACTTTGGAGGTGGTTCCACAACTCTTCCTTTGGAACTGAAATGACAACCACAAACTAGTCAAAATACAATTACAAAAGCACATATCCTTCATATAAGGAAGAAGCATTCATATGAATGGTGAATATAAAGAAATCAAATGGCAGTTACTTAAGATAAGAAACTTCAACAATCAATACCAACGAAAGAAACTTACATCTTCTCAGCATTTGGGCCATATTTTGCAAATTGAACAGTAATTTCTCTGCCATCAACAACTCTTCCTGAAACGAAGAAAGAAGCTTCATGTTAAAACCCAATCACCAAATGCATAAACTGATATAACAGACCAAGAATACAAAGATCTGGATAAGTTTACCATCAAGCCTTTCCACTGCTTTGTGAGCTTCATCTTTATACTTATATCGAACAAATGCAAAACCACGCGAATCACCAGTCCTAAATAGCATAACCCAAGAACTGATTCAATACCAGAAGAAAGACAAGAACGAAAAACCCTAATTTCTCACTAGGACGAAAATTCGACCTTCGATCTCTGGGGATAAACACATCCACCACTTTTCCATACTTTGCGAATAGAGGATAGAGGTCATCTGCAGTTGTACCTACACACAGAACAAAACCCTAAATCTCTCAGAATCGCAATAAACATGAACAGTATTGTAACGAGTTTTATATAGAGACAGAGAGATAGAAATTACGGAAGGTGATGTTGAGGACGAGAAGAGAGTAAGTGTCGCTGATGTCCGGCGGACCTGACCTTCCGAAGTGCGACATGGTTTTCCCGCCGACG